AATGAAGACTTGCGTGCAGACCCAGAGCGAGGACTGCACAATTCAAACGCGTCTGGATTGTCCGTGTTGTGTTGGAGTAATAAACTCGTTTCTCCTATATGTTCTTCTTTAGGTCGGTTTGGAAACCAGGTGGATCATTTTCTTGGGTCACTGGCTTTTGCTAAAATGCTGAACCGAACACTCGCGGTTCCGCCGTGGATTGTTTACCGCCATCACTCGCCACCTTTTAAAAATGTAAACACAACACCTGTCACTCCTTTGATAGCACATGTACCCTGCCCTGCACCCTGTTAGGAAATCCAACTTAAGCTGATAGTGTTTTGGAACAAGGTAGCTGGTCCAAACCAGACTTATTTTAGTATTATTTATTTACTATTATAATATTTATGAATATTTTGAATGATCTTTTATTTTTAGATTTTAATTTAAGTTTTAGCAGTTTTGTTACTTGCTTTTGTCATTTACATTTTTTAATAAATAATATTTCTGTTCTGCTTTATTTTTTTATTTCGCTCTATATTATAGTAATTTTAATACTTAAACTTATTTTATTAGCATTTCTAATTTGTTTTATTTACTGAAGTTTTCCAATCTGCTAATCATATTATATTTAATTTCAGCTTTATTTCAGTTGACAAAAATGATTTTTAATCATTTTAGTTAAGAATAACAACATTGGGCCAAGTTGGTCATTAGCTGGCCCTAACCACTGTTACATATATTGTAGTATTTATTAATATTTTGATTAAGCTTTTATTTTTAACTTTAGTTTTCATTTTAATTTTAGTTTGTTTTTGTAATTTTATGTCATTTTTTTAGAATTTTATTTTAGTTTGTTCCCAAGGTAATTTTTCTAATTTTCTATTTTTTCTTTAAGTGTAGGTGTTTCATCTAATATTTATATTCATGTTTCAGTTTTATAAAAAAAAAAAAAAAAAACTTTGGCTGGTTAATGTTGGTCATTAGATAATCCATACTTATCATAAGTTATTCCAAGCTAGTAGGCCATCAGCTGCCAGCTGGTTCTGAAACAGTGACTGTTCAACCATCTAATGACTGGCCGTCACACTAGTAGATCAATAGGAGAAAGTTCAATTTATTGATACGGTATAGTATGCTTCTGTGTTTCTCTGTAACAGGTGCATGTCCCTTACAGTGAGTATTTCCAGTTGGAGCCAGTGAAGCAGTACCACCGTGTGGTGAGTCTAGAGGACTTCATGGAGCACTTGGCTCTTAAGCACTGGCCTCCTGGTCAGAGAGTGGCTTACTGCTTTGAGTCTGCAGCTCACAGGAGCATGGACAAAAAGAGCTGTCCGATGAAGGTAATATGGGTGTTCATTCTTCAAGGTGCACTTCATTTCTGTCTTTTTGCTAGACCTTCAGAATCCGAAGTTCTCTGTATAGCTGCACCTCAAATATTTTTTCTAATGTATTATGCCGCACTCTTTGGAAACACTGCCATCTATTGGACTTTTTGCAGATGTGCAGTTTCTTTCATACCATAAAAGCATCATGCGTTCTTAAATATTCATGACAGTGCGCTTGTAATGCAGCCTGTTGATTCTCATGCAGGACGGAAATCCTTTTGGTCTGTTTTGGGACCATATTGGAGTCAATTTCGATCGCTCTGTTCTTTTCGGAGGACTGTCATTCAGCTCCTACTACCAGCCGCACTGGATAAAGAGGTAAGGTTGAGCTGAAACACTCACATAAATATAAATTATTGCACTCAGGCTCCTTCCACTTTACTTTTCTCACTCTCAAACTCTGTGTTTCTCTTTTTCTCCAGGTTTCCCCCAAAAGAGCATCCAGTCCTTGCTCTTCCAGGAGCCCCAGCACAGTTCCCTGTACTGGAGGAGCACACTGGAATGCAGGAGTATGTGGTGTGGTCTGAAAACATGGTACAGGAAGGAGAAGGTCACATCAGAAGTCTGCTAAACAGACCTTACGTGGGAATTCATCTGAGGATCGGCTCAGATTGGGTGAGCTTTGTGTGTCCTGATGTGAATGGATGGTTTCCCATAGTTCAGATCCAAATGGACATTTCTAGAACTTTTATAGAAAAATACAGAAGATTTATTTCAAATAAATGCTGATGCCAAAATTGAGCTTTAACATCACAGGAACAAATTGCATTTTAAAACATATTAAAACAGACATTTTGAATATTTCCACAATATTTCTCAAATAAATGCAGGTTTGATGAGCATAAGATCTTTTATAAGAAAATTCATAAAAAAATTGCACTGACACCAAATTTTTGAATGGTAGTGTATATAGTTGTTATCTTTCTGTATGTAAATGATTTATCCTGTATATCTGTTATTTGTGAATATATATTTATTAATTTGTTTATTTACATATATATATATTTTTTTTACTTGATATAACTTTGTTATTGTCTTAAAATAGTCTTAGATGCGGACATGGCATAAACACATATACTGTATAAATGAACAGATCCAACTGGATATGATATAAAATCAATACAGTAAGTGATGTGATCTCATCATAAAATTCGTTCTCCAAAGGTATATGTGAATTAATGTGGACGATTTTATTCGATTTCTGAAGTACCAGTATAACAAGTGCGGAATTTTAGGCCTGATGTGGCTTGAATTGGATGATATGCGTCATATCCTCTTAACGATTATTATTATTATTCCACACAGCAAAATGCCTGCAAGCTTCTGAAGTCAGGTGATACTGGTCCTCACTTCATGGCGTCTCCACAGTGTGTGGGATACGACCGTCGAACTGCCCTGCCGCTGACCATGACCATGTGTTTACCAGATCTGTCTGAGATCCGCCGTGCGGTGAAGCTCTGGGTGAAGAACATCAACGCTCAGTCAGTTTACATAGCCACCGACTCTGAATCGCACACCGCAGAGATTCAGAAACTCTTCAAGGGCAAGGTGAGGATTAACATTTTAACATTACAGATGTGTAAACCTGATTTAGTAAACAGAATATAAAGGTGATGATGCATTTTTTGCAGGTGAAGGTCGTGAGCTTGCAGCCGGACACTGCTCAAATTGACCTGTATATCCTCGGCCAGGCCGACCACTTCATCGGCAACTGCGTTTCGTCCTTCTCAGCCTTTGTTAAAAGGGAGAGAGATGTTCATGGGAGACCCTCGTCATTCTTTGGGATGGACTACCCAGGAAAAAGGAAAGGAAAAGAGGAACTCTAATGAAATGAAGATGTTATGTTTTTGTAACTGTGAAGGCTGGTTGAAGTTTTGCATGTTTCAGGTGTATGGTTACATTTTGAACAAGAACATTTGGATATAGGCTTTAAGTAATTAAATGAAGGGAGAACAAGAAAGTTCATTCCATTTCTTTGGATGCTGCATTTCTCCTATGTTGCACTACTACATTTACTGTGAGAGCAACCATGGCATCTTTATATCATTGATATTTTTGTACTACTGGCTCATTTGCATTTTTTGAGGATGTAAAAACTGCCCCCTGTGAGGGTTTAGTGATTAGAGTAGAGACAAGTCAGAATTAGTCAAGTAATAGGAGAAGGGTCTGGCTGCATGGGAGAGTGCAAGTGGCGATTGCAAGTGACTTCGTAATTTAGTTTCTTTTGTCTTGTCTTCACCACCTGGCTACTGTTGTAAAATGTTGAGAGATTCAAACAAAAAGTAATCAATAAATAGAACAAAAGAAAAAAGACTGCAAGTGACGTCTCTAGCGGAAGTGCAAGTGTCTGAGAATGCAAGCCTGAGAGTGCAAGCGCCAGGCTGCAGCAAGACCCTCTTGAGTAATAGTGGTTGGAAATTGCACTTTTTATAGTTGAAGGCCATTTAAGACCTCCAGAGGCATCCAGATGTGCAGTGCTTTAGTGATTGCTGAAAATGAACAAATGTGTCACACTATGAAAAGAATGTACGTCACAGACTTTCTGATGTCTTATAGGAATGCAAGTTAACGTTGTTTTTGAAAGTCAGTGTGAAGCCAAATAGCAGAAATGTTTTATAAATGTTTTAAGATGTAGATATTAGTTTCGTACCACTTTAAATTACATTACTCAAGTTAGTTTTCGATTACAAATAGAACTAGCAGTATTTTGTGCATTTATGTCCTTTGGTTTTATGATCTATTTAAAAGGCTTTTAAAATTTAAATCAAAGGAGTACATATGCATTTATAATCTCTGCACACAAAAAAATGCAGCAAGAATGAATGAATAAATAAAAATAACAGTTTCCATTGAAATGCAATGGTTACTGCACTGCAATTCAACATTTTGGAGTGGGCAAGATTTTAAAAAAAATGTATTTGAAAGAAGTCTCTTATACTCATTAAGGCTACATTTATTTGATAAAATAAAACAGAAATAGTACAATTTCAAATAACTAATTTCTATGTTAATTTATTTTAAAATGTAATCTATTCCTGTGATGCAAAGCTGAATTCTCAGCAGCCATGACTTCGGTGTCACATGATCCTTCAGAAATAATTCTAGTGATGATTTTCTGCTCAAGAAACATTTCTTATTATCAATGTTGAAAACAGTTGAACTGCTTAATATTTTTTGTAGAAACCATAATTCATTTTGAATCAAATTTCGATGAATCAAACATTTAAAATAGCATTTTTTTTAAAAATAGAAATGTTTTGTAACATAAATGCCTTTACTATTACCTTTGATACTTTTAAAGCATCCTTGCTAAGTAAAAGTATTAATTTCTTTCAAAAATAAATGAATAAAATGAACTGTTTATTGTTTTTGCAATAAATCTGTGTATGGAGTGGTTTAAATTTGTCAGTTTGAAGTGTTATTTACATTTTTACTTTTTAGTCAATACAACCATATTAAGTCATTCCATAATTTTACTATTAGAGGTAATCTGTTGCTATTCTATTGTTGTAATAACAAAACATAGAAAACAACATACAAATCTATAGTGCCCATTTGAAATAGCATATTTTGTAGATGCGCTTGAATAAGGTTCGATTCAGCAGCAGCAGCAGCAGCAGATCCATCCCGGCCTGCAGGGGGATCACAGCGCAATCTCTCTCTCTCCTCACAGGGACAGACATGGCTGACGGAGTTCATGAGGAGAGATACGGGTAATTTTGTATATTTCAGCGCTTAGAGACTTGAGAGGTATGTGCTTCTGATGGATATGAAGGCGACGGTGACCTTCGGCGTAATTTGCAGGTTAAATTGTCCTGCAGTGGCGAGGTGAGTTACATTATGTGTGTATTTATACAGTGTGTGCTGTATAAATGACACGGTTTGTTTGCCGTTGCCAGGCCGCTTGTTTTGAATCTCTGAGGAGCTACATTCTCACTGATCCGTTTATATAGCTTGACAAGCTCATATTAGCAATATTGTATTATTGAACTATAATAAAATAACAAAATAATGACATTTTCAACAAAACGGGCTATTAGTGCGTCGTTTTTGACTCTTTAGTCTGTTATTCGTCGTTATCTCGCTATGTTATGTGACAACCGAGGCTGAGATTGACTAATTTAAGCCAGATTTACAGGGATATTTACTATTAAATTATATCGGATGGACTGACGTGAATTAGCAGTGCTGCTACAGCTAATGTAACTTAGTAGTTAATAGATTGCGTTTTATCCTGTAAATTATTATTATGACCAGTCTTTGAAAAATGATAATTTAGGAATAACACGAGCTGCTTTAGACGTTTGTTCTTCTACAAATATAATATGTAATACTGAGTACAGGCTTGCTTATGAAAATGATTATTTAGGAGTGGCATAAACGACTCTACAGGTCTGTGCTTGTAGTATGTGGTATGTTATAGCAACCAGTTAAGGCATATCACTTTCATTTAGGTCTATACTTTGTTTGAATAGTTGTAAAGCTGCAAAAACGTAAAGTAATACATATTGCAATATACTGTTCAACCCAACACTTACAAATAACTACTGTGGCAAAAGTGATTGTCATTATTTCTGACCTTAGAAGAAAAAGTTGAACTGTTTTGGTATTCCATCAATACGTCAATAGTATGATGGTATGAGATAGAGACACAATTATAATATACTAAGTCATAATTATGGCATAGGTCAAAATTCTGAAAAGGTGATTTAAAAATGGTCATAATTTTAACTTTTTCTAACAATTATTATTATTATTATTTTTTGCTTTTTATCTCATAATTGTGACATACAGTGGAGATCAAAATTAGAGAACAACCTACAATTTCCTAAATTTTGAGGTCACTGCTTATGCCGAGTTATCGTGCAATGTGAACACAGCAGCAACTGAATGCTACCTCAGATAGGCACGCAGTGTGAAAACAACGGCGATCCGACGAGTTTGAAAATCGTGCAGTGTGAACTCGGCATTAGTCTTATTTGAAGTTATCCTAACAGGAGTAAAAGTGCAAGTTTTAAGCATATTTCATGAGTTAAATATATTCTGAAGCACAGTCCAAAAAACTTAAATGAGATATTTGAAGAAGAACTCTAATCAAAATTAGAGAACACTTTCAGATACCTCCCAGTTAGTGGTGTTAATCTGGCACCTGGTGCTAATTTCCTTAATTATATGTCAAACCCTATTTAACTGGCAGCCTAATGGTGCGTTCAAGTCATGTCGGATAGATCGTATTTACGAGATGAACGCCACCACAAAGTCGTTATTACGAGTGGGAAACTCGAAATTTTCTTTAAGCCCCCGACTAAACTGACTTGAACGCACCTGACGTCGTAATTACGACTTGTCAACTCGTAAGTATGAACGTCCCAGGAGGACTTGAACGCAGCATAACTTTCCAGTTTTCACTGACTTTGCAAGATGGTGAGCCTTTCTAAAGTGACTGAAACCCTCCGACAGCAGGTTGTCCAGATGAAGGCCAGTAGCAGCCATTGCAAGAGAAGTTGGTCGTTTCAAATCTGTGATAGAATATTGTATCTTTACAATGTCACTCACTAACTCATTGAAGTCCCCCAAAAAGACTGGTTGTCCACAAAAAACAAATGCACAAGACAACAGGATAATGCAGAGAATCTCAATGGGCAATCGGTTCAACACTGCAGTTGGAATTGCTTGCCAGTTCAGTGCTGAACAGGGTAAGGATCTGTCTCTGCATGTTTAAGAGAAGTCGGACTGAAAGTGCACTCTGCAGTGACGAAGCCTCTCATCAGCTGAAAGAATCAAAAGGCTAAGCTCACCTTTGCTGAGGAGCATGTTGTGTGGAGAGAGTATTATGCATATTACATAACTATGTTGTAATAATATATAATATTGTGCGCAATGAATCTGTCACGCCCACTGGAGTCTCATCAGTAGGTCACGCATGCGCTGATAGCTCTGAAGTAAACTAACACTGAAACATAACCTACTCCGGAGCAGGTTATGTTCAGAGAATAAGTTACTATGGCTACTTACATGAGCTTGAAGCTGAAAACATTGAAAAAATTAAATGGCCGGCCCAGAGTCCTGATCTAAACCCGATTGAAAATCCTTGGTGACAAAGTTATGGCTTCCACCGAACTGTGGAAGAAGAGCGGACCAAGATCACACCAGAGCATTGTGAGAAACTAGTGATGTCCTGCGGCCGCAGATGTGCTGAAGTCATTCAAAGCAAGGGCTTCTACACTTCCTACTTCCTACTATTTTTGACTGCTGTAACCTTCAGAAATGTTAGTTGTAATTTTTCTTTGTGCTACAATCATTGCTGTTCTCTAATTTTGATCACTGTGTTTTCCACAAAAAAGGTTTTTGTTGAAGTGCCTTGGTTATTTTGTAAAACACTGTTCTACTAGCATGGTATAGCCACAACTAAAATTACTTCAAATTTTGAACAATGAATATGATTTCATATTCAATTATTCATTATTTCACATTCAGTTATTTAATATAATATAATTATTTCTGAAAAAAAATCAAGTGTTCATAAATTGTTCTCTCCACTGTAGTATCTCATAATTTTGACTTTTTGTTTCATAGTTATGAAATAATAAAAAAAAATCATAAAAAATATTAATTTGATTAACTTATAATTATGATGTACTCGTGATTTACTAAAACATGATTTTTTTTATGTGGTGGAAAATGGGATTCCATGTATGTGTTGTAAGCTTGATTTTTGCTTACTCTATTTTATTGCTTACCAGATATGTTGGCTGCTTATTCAGTATTTTTATGAAAAAAGGTTACTACAGATTGCTTGCCAAGATAAATCTAGATAAATAGTTCTGTGTTTGTTTGCTGTAACCATAAAACAAGTTTGTTCATCTTTCTCTTGTCTTTGTCATTTCACTGAGTTGCATCATGTTTTGCAGGCTCTGATGCTGGCGGCACCATCACTGTGAAATAAACTACAAACTCATTAGGAGAAGCCAGCAGATACACCAAAGCCATCAAAATGTCTAAAAGCAAGAGCTCTGAATCTGTTAAGGTAGTGGTGCGTTGCCGTCCCATGAATGAGAAAGAGCGAGCCGCCAACTTCCAGAGGGTGGTCTCAGTGGATGTGAAGTTTGGGCAAGTGGCCGTGCGCAACCCTCGCAGTGCGTCCTCCCATGAGCACCCAAAAGTGTTCACCTTCGATTCCGTCTATGACTGGAGTTCAAAGCAGATGGAGCTCTACGATGAGACTTTCCGGCCATTGGTGGACTCTGTACTTTTTGGCTTCAATGGGACCATCTTTGCATACGGCCAGACGGGCACTGGAAAGACTTTCACGATGGAAGGGGTACGAAATGACCCCGACAGGAGGGGTGTCATTCCGAACTCCTTTGAACACATTTTCACACACATCTCCCGCTCTCAGAACCAGCAGTACTTGGTCAGGGCTTCATACTTGGAGATTTATCAAGAAGAGATCAGGGACCTTTTATCGAAGGACCAGTCGCGCCGTCTGGAGCTCAAAGAGAGGCCAGATACGGGTGTCTATGTTAAAGACCTCTCTTCATTCGTCACTAAAAGTGTTCGTGAGATTGAGCATGTGATGAACGTGGGGAACCAGAACCGCTCGGTTGGTGCAACTAACATGAACGAGCACAGCTCTCGCTCTCACGCGATCTTCGTCATCACCATTGAGTGCAGTGAGTTGGGTCCTGATGGAGAGAACCACATTCGGGTTGGGAAACTCAACCTTGTTGACCTGGCAGGAAGTGAAAGACAGACCAAAACTGGTGCTCAGGGCGAGCGCTTGAAAGAAGCCACCAAAATCAATCTCTCTTTGTCAGCTTTGGGCAACGTCATCTCAGCGCTGGTGGACGGGAGAAGCACCCACATCCCGTACCGTGACTCTAAACTTACAAGACTGCTTCAGGATTCCTTGGGCGGAAATGCCCGTACGGTTATGGTGGCCAACATTGGACCTGCTTCCTACAATTTGGAGGAGACTCTGACCACGCTACGCTATGCAAATCGCGCTAAAAACATCAAGAACAAACCCCGTGTCAATGAAGACCCCAAGGATGCCCTGCTTCGGGAGTTTCAGGAGGAGATTGCCCGCTTGAAAGAACAGTTGGAGAAAAGGTCTGGCAGGAAGAGGAGCAAAAGGAGGAGGAGGAGGGTTGGAGAAGGAGGAGAGGAGCTAGAAGATGAGGAGGAGGAGGATGATGATGATGAGGAGGAGGATGACGACGAAGAGGAAGGAATGGATGCAGATAAGAACATTGTGGATTATTGGCATGAACAACAGGAGAAGCTGGAGAAGGAGAGGAAGGCCATCATGGAGGACCACAGCCTGGTGGCGGAGGAGAAACAGAGGCTGCTGAAAGAGAAGGAGAAGAAGATGGACGATCTTCGCAAAGAGAAGGAGGCTTCAGAGATGCTGGCGGCCAAAGTTAAGGTTAGAAAGCACAGACCTTGGGTTAAAATATACTTTTGTTCAGAAGTTTGGGGTCAGTAGGATTTTTTTTAATATTTATGAAAGAAGTCTCTCCTGCTCACTAAGGCTGCATTTATTTGATCAAAAATGCAGTAATAACAGTAATATTGTGAAGTATTATTACAATTTTAAATATCTTTTCTATTTGAATATATTATAAAAATGTAATTTAAAAAATGTAATTTATTCATGTGGTGGCAAAGCTGGATTTTCAGCATCATATATGTAATTTTTTTTTTTCAGGAATCTTATACAATTAGAAAGTAAAAAAAAAAAAAGAAATAGAAATCTTTTGTAATATTATAAGTGTCTTTACTGTCAGTTTTATGTGTCATTCCTGAATAAAAGTTTTAGTTTCTTTAACAAAATCATGCTCACCCTAAACTTTTTAATGCTAGTGTATTTATTTATTTATTTTTAACGAATATAGTAAAATTATTGCAACTATTCTGTAATGGGGGGGAAAAAACCAACCAAACAAACAAACAAAACACATTTGTGTAAAAATGTTAAATTTTTATAAGTGTCTTTACTGTCAGTTTTATGTGTCATTCCTGAATAAAAGTTTTAGTTTCTTTAACAAAATCATGCTCACCCTAAACTTTTTAATGCTAGTGTATTTATTTATTTATTTTTAACGAATATAGTAAAATTATTGCAACTATTCTGTAATGGGGGGGGAAAAAACCAACCAAACAAACAAACAAAACACATTTGTGTAAAAATGTTACATTTTTTTGTAAATAATTAAAAGAATTAAATATTAAATGTAAAAATTATACTTTTATATTTATAAACATTATACAATTCACGTTATACATTTATAATTTAAAACAAAATTCAATATAAAATAAAATATATTAAATATAAAATATACATTTAAATTAATATTTTTGATTCATTAAAAGAGGCAGCTTGTAAGAGTCATTTGTTTTTAATTAAGACTACACTGATGGCACTGTATGTTGTTGTTTTTGCAGTACAGTAGAAAAACATGTTTGTCCTCATTTTATTACTCATTTGTTTTATCTCCTCATGTTCAATGTACGCTGCAAACTCACAGATTTAATGAAATATGTTGAAGACTGGATATTCGTTTCAGAAACAAATACTCTTAACAGTCCTTCCCTTAGCTTGGCTGATATTGTGTCATCGTGTTTGGCTTATCTGATAACCAGTTTTTCCCTTTCAGGCCATGGAGAGCAAGCTGCTGGTGGGAGGGAAGAACATTGTCGACCACACCAATGAGCAGCAGAGGATTCTGGAGATGAAGAGACAGGAGATAGCCGAACAGGTACAGTTTCCAGTAGCACACTGTGGAGAAATTGAGCTGGACCTCAAGGTTATTTGAGCCTCCTTATAATTTGTGATGTGGATATTTTGGGAAGCTGCATTTCAAATGGAGAAAACAAAAATGCTGCTTAAAGCATTTGTTCTTTTTTTTTTTTTCTCACTCAGCAGTCCTTTCTGTGTTTGTTTGGAGCTGCATTTATGCAGCTTACAAAGAAATTCTGATACAATTTGTGGCCTGTCATTGTGTTTAACAGTTAATCAGTGGTGGAAAGAGTACTGAAAAAATATACTCAAGTAAAAGTACCATTACCTTCCAAAAAATGTAGTGTGAGTAGAGTAAAAGTACTTGTCCAAAAAACTACTTGAGTAAGAGTAAAAGAGTAGCCTATTTAAAAGTACTCATGAGTATTGAGTAGTGAGTACTGAGCTGTGGATTCTACCCCCTCATAATAAACGCTGTACACCGCAATTTATCCATTTTAAAAACGTTGTACATTTTGTAATTCACATTATCTTGTTTGTCATAAAGAATGAAGAATATCTATCATCCAGCAGTTTTCATTTTGACTGCCAACTCTTTAAAATACATCAAAACAGCACGGCAACAGTATTCAGTTGAAGAAAAGATGAGTTATTCTCAGTACAATCATCCCCATTTAAATCATAAAGTTTGAAAAAATTGATTTAAAATCATGTGTAAGGCCACTGAGACAGCATGCTGTTGTTGCACATAAAATATTAATGTTTAGAACAGTGCAAATACAAACACCATTAGAAACTCATAGTTCAGCATCACACACCTTGATATGGGTTAAAATGAGAGCCCATTTCTCTCCAAAAGGGTGCCAGTTTTAGCGTTTTGCAATAAAGAAATAAGAATAACTGAACTTGATCATTTATGTTACAATTTTAACATAAATGCACTTCTAGAAGGATGGCATCATGCCATACCTTTTACACATTTACTCGAATTGTTATGCTGATAATACAATTTGTATTTCTGGGGAAACTTTTTCAAAGGAAAACACACACAGAAATCCGAAATTTACCTTAACATATTAAGTTAGAGGAAGATGCGACTGAATTGATGCTTGAATAATGCACTTCCAGCAGCCATGATAAACAGTTGGCGGTTAATGTTTTCTATGCACAATTTGATTTGACGAAAGTCACGAGACCTATTACTATCTCTCTATCCAATCACGTTGATGGATAAAAATGAAATTAAAATAAGCATGTAACAACTACAAACGGAGGAAAATAGCGGAGTAAAAGTACCGATACATCACTTAAAATGTACTCAATTAAAAGTACACAATTTTTAAACTACTCAAAAAAAGTACAATTACTGATAAAAACTACTTAATTACTGTAACGTGAGTATTTGTAATTCGTTACTTCACACCCCTGCAGTTAATTTATATCTAGACAGTGATTGGACAGAAATATGTATGTACATTTCTCGTTGTTAGAATGTTATAAACATTATATGAGCAGTTCCACTTTGGCTTGTGAAATGCAAAGATGTTTAAAACATTCATAATGTGTGTGTGAGCAGAAAAGGCGGGAAAGGGAGATGCAGCAGGTGATGGAGTGTCGTGACGAAGAGACACTGGAGCTGAAAGAGACGTACAGCTCACTGCAGCAGGAAGTTGACATTAAGACCAAGAAACTGAAAAAGGTAGTATCTGTCTGTCTATAGCAGTATGCTGTTAAAATGATATTAGGAAGACTGTGTGCATGTGATCAGGTGTATTTTTAGAGTCCAGCTGTATTCTTTGGAGTCATAGTAGGACAGCTCTCATGGCACATCTCCATCCTCCTTGTTGAGAATCATCCATACTTGACTGAATTTGACCTCCTATTGCTTGAGTTTGTAGAGCAAATGCCTTACCTATTCCTCTGAAGAACCTCATCTTTTTTTGAACATCCCATCTGTTTCTGTCTCTTTCATGTAGCTTTTTTCCAAGCTGCAGTCTGTGAAGGCGGAGATTCAGGACGCCCAGGATGAGCATGTCAAATACAGGCAGGAGCTGGAGCAGACGCAGAATGAGCTGACCAGAGAACTCAAACTCAAGTATGTCATCACTCTGAGTTGCTTTTGAATCGAAAAACACAATCTGGTGAATCCTGAATCTAATTGATACTCTATCAACACAAAGATTCACAGTCCTACCCTTTACACATACATCTTCCACTTCCTAGTAGTATGCCGGCAAATCTATGCCAAAAAGAACTGAGTGCACCAGTTATGTTAACGCGCATGCTAAATTGCTTCCGGGAGAGGATAACAGATCCACGTGCGAGGAAACGGGAGCTTGCGAGCTCTTTTTAAACACTCGCGTGCACATCACATCACCTATGCGCGCAATATAAGCCCTCGCGAGCGAGGATATGTCTCATCGCACGCGCGTGATCATCCCCCTCATTCTCACGCTCCGTATTTTTTCACCTGCTTGCGTTTGCTCACGCGAACACTTTTATTTTTGGCAGTCGTGGGGCGGGACTTGCTGTTTTATATTGATTTGAAGGAACTCAAGTACCGTTTTCAAAAGCGATTAGGATCATAGACAGTGTGTAAATCAGCGGCATATGTGAGCCATCAGACGTGTCACCTATGCGCGCAATATAAGCCCTCGCGAGCGAGGATATGTCTCATCGCACGCGCGTGATCATCCCCCTCATTCTCACGCTCCGTATTTTTTCACCTGCTTGCTTTTGCTCACGCGAACACTTTTATTTGTGGCAGTCGTGGGGCGGGACTTGCTGTTTTAATTGTAATCTCAAACGCCATTGGTTACTTCCCCTTTTCCGGACGTCAGCTGTGATTGGACGCCTGTGAAAAGGCGATCCATAATTCACATGTGACCTGAGACGTGGCTTTATCAACGACCCAGATGCAAGTTGTCATTTATTTATTTTTTTATAAATATAACATGGCTGTTTTAATGAAAATTAATTGCATGCTTTGTCAATAGAACAGATCTTTAGCAGAAAGTTTATTATATAAATTCTTCCGTTTACTTGTGATTGCAATCTTGTGATGTAAAGATAAAACACCACATAAACCCTTTTTATAGATTGTAATGACACGTTTCCACGGTTATTAGCATGGTAAATCTACCAAAATTGTTATATTTGATTTTTTTTTATACAACACAATGCTTTGGGTTAACTTCTCAAAATACAAATAAAATAAAATAAAACCTAATAGTCAACTTGTTGCTATAACTCAAATTAGCTGTAGTTCACCACTATATTACCACTATATACTTGTCCATTAAATAATTGTAAGTGTACATAATTGTAAATCCCAAATTGGTTTGTATTTTCAGGTTATTTACTTGTAACTCGGTGAACACTGTTCTTTTTGGCATAGATTTCCCGGCATATATTCGTTCCCATCAGCATGTTTTGTCCTTTGTGGGTTCAGTGGTCAGTGTTTGGTTTAGCGTGGAGGCTGAATTTAAAAAAAGGAACCTCTAAAAGCGTTCTGACCTAATTAAGTTGTTGTGTTGGACTGACTGCTTGAAAATCAGGACTCCGCACAACTATATTATGGATATGAACAGTTTAATACACACACTCACACTGAGAAAAAAAATCGTAATTTCATTGACCCTTTAACATTTGTGTTGTACACACCAGACATTTGATCATCGAGAACTTCATCCCACTGGAGGAGAAGAACAAGATTGTGACAAGAGCCACTTTTGATGAAGAAGATGACCTTTGGAAAATGACCCCCATCACCCGTATTCAAAGGTATTTAGACTTACTGAAACTGAAGTATTTGTATGGCTACTAACATCCTTCCCTTTTTCATTATTATGTTTCATCTTTCTCTTTCTCAGTGATCAGCAGATGATGAAAAGGCCTGTTTCTGCAGTGGGCTACAGACGGCCTCTGAGTCAGCATGCCCGTATGGCCATGTTGATGCGGCCTGATGTCAGATACAAGGTATGCTGACACTGTTCCCATAATCCCCCGCATGACACCACACAAAGGCTTCGGTTACAATACTCCCTCACTCTTTACAGCGGCACGGATGAGCTCAGGAGAATCAAACGCATGTTATGTTCTTGCTCCTTTGCCTTCATCTTTTTATATTCTCCCTGTCCGTCTTCCAGGCTGAGAATATCTTGCTGCTGGAGTTGGACCTGCCCACACGGACCACAAAAGACTACGAGGGCCCGGTGATCGCGCCTAAAGTGGCTGCGGCTCTGGAGGACGCTCTGAGGGAAGAGGACGAGATCCAGGTGGACGCCTCTGGTCTTCGTGCCAGCCTGGGCTCCAGTCCAGGCCTCAGTGCCTCAGCTGCTGGCTTTTCCAAGAAACCAAAGTCAGGGTGAGAAATTATCCCTCCAACCCTCTCCCCTTTTGTTTATTTTTCACCTCTTTGTTTATCCTACCTTAATATACTTTTTCATTTTTCCCTACAATCCTCTCACAGCCGCCCAAAAACTGGCAAGAAGGTGAGCACTCCAACTTCAGCTCACAGCCCTTTGTCTGGTTCAGGGTCCCCTCTTTACCCACAATCCCGAGGCCTTGTGCCAAAGTGACACCGGCCCTCTGTGAAAACCTTCACTGCTCCATATAAACTGACTGGTTTTGGCATTAAAGTTGTCCGTTTTTAAACAAAAAAGGTGGAACATCTTGTGTTATTTAAACCCACCAATCAGCCCACAAACTACCTTGTTTTTAGATGTCGCTTCAACATCCCGTTCATAGCACAACAAAAGTTACGTTTGGCAATCTTTAAAGTCTTAAAGCTCACAGTAAGATAAAGTTCCACAGATTTAGTTTGCACTCAAGTAAAATGTTACATGTTTTGTGTGTGTGTGTGTGTGAGGTCATTGAGACAGCAGATGGTCTCGGGAATTGACCATAAGTGTTAGTTACGTCATTGTGGGGATGTTTTTGTGTGTGTCCAGTTATAGGATTAACAAATTTCTCAAATAAAGTAGCTGGAGATGAGATTTATGCTGGTTTGGGCCACAAAAGCACTGTATTGTTGTTTGACGAGAGAGTAAGCACATTACGTCATTGGCTAAGACCCAAAACAACCTCTAAGCCTTTCTCGAAGACTCTTCGAGGCGCTTGGGCTGGGGGAAGGGCCCAGAAACACACTCCTGACCAGGTTGTCGTCGCAGTCAGCACTGTATCCAGTAAGGAAAGGTGTTAGGGGGTTTAAAGGTCATCACATACTAATAATATCAGGGTTCCAAGGTGCCTTAGATTCTCTTTAAGTACAGAGGTTTGGTCTGAGAGTCCCTTGACCTGATAGCTGGACAGTAGAACCTGTAATCCACACCAAAACCCCTGTGGATGGTTCCTGAATGCTTCGAATTACGCTCTAAGTCTGTTGTGTTGAGCAGGCTTATATTTAATATTCATGGGGATCTGTAAACAAGAGTTTGACTTGACTAAGTCTTATTTCTGTCTGTGGAACTGTCAAACCTTGAACTAGTGAAGGTAATACCATTGCCTGCTGCTACTGTAGGGTTCTTTTACCTCTTGTGTTACGGTTTATGTATATTGCGACATGTTAGTAAATAAATCTGCATTATCATTGCAGTTGTATTAAAATCAAAAATAATAAATGCATTCTTAGAGTAACATTTTAAAAGGCTAAGTTATTACCATACTAGTCGGGTTTATATTCAAGCAATTGTAGATCGTTTTTAAGTCGGATTTTCTTTGCTTAGATTTATATGGTTTATTTTTGAATATGTATTATTTAAAGTTGTGTACAAATTTATTTTTGCATATGAGATTTAAGTATCATTTTCATGTCATTCACTGCATTCTTCTGTGTTAAGCGGATTACGTCATCCTATAGTAAACCTACAGCTTTTGGATTGTCAGAATGTGTACCGCAAATCCTGATGCTGGTCATTGAAATGAGTGTGAATTTATTAATTTAACTATGCATTATCTAATCGATATTCATGCTGCCACTCCTGTGTTATTGGATAAGTCATTAGTTGCTGTTACGTTATTTTTTGAGGTTTTAGCATGATATAAGAACATCTAAAGCATTATAGGCGAAATGAAACCGTAAACGGTCTGTAGTCTAATACTCCAATTTCACCCTTCTTCCATGTGATGCATGAGTTCAGTGCTAATAACCACACTGAGAAAATAATTTGTTCACACAGATTTTTTTTTTTTTTACAAAAATTTTTTTGAATTTGTATTTGAGTTTAGAATGCAAATGTCCTCATTGTCTTAACCATCATTTAATTAAAGGATGATTATCTATTTGAGGGTGTAAGAGCTGTTTTTTCCCCACCCATTTATTCTGCTTGCATTTTTATTCCACCCAAATCACAATATGACTTTAATAAGTAATAAAAATAACCAGACTTTTTAATGCTTCACCTGAACTTCGTCCTCGTCCAGGTTGTGGTAGCACAATTATATTTTTTTGTGAGCATTTTGTTTTATTATTATTATTTACAAACATGGAGAATCTGTTTCTTTTTCCCTACTAGAAATAAAATGACCAGAAATGTGTTGTCCAGTGTGCAAATTCAAACTTTATTGAAGGTTATGTCACCTACAAGCGCACAGTTGTTTCAAGCAAAACCTGGTAGATATGCTTGTATGTCAGATGAGTAAAGACTTTTCTTCTAATATCCTGGATTTTATGGGCTACCTAAGCATTGGTCTCATCAAGGAGAATTAAAGAGAAAAGCTCCTGCACTGATGAAATGTGTAGAAATCAAACCTGGGATCACAGAACTGCCAGATCCAACCACTGAACGCTCAGAATAGTCTTCCTGTACAGAGATTGTTTTACTACCACACTGTGATATACAAAAAGCAGATAATTTTCAATATTTTTGGTCAAAAAATAGAAAGGTCCTAACATTTTGGTCGTTTTGTTCTTGAGTTAAAAAAAAATAACATGAAATAAAATGTTTCCGAAAGTATTCCTGAGTAGGGCCAAAGATTCCGAGCACAACGATTGGAATTCATGAAAAATACCCAAGTGCTGCATATACCTTGAATTTTTGGCAATTACCAATAAATAGAATTTTACTAAAAATGTTTCTTTATTTTCACAATCTTTACAATATTATTTGTAAAGCTTGCGATATGACAATGAACATGTAAATCACTGTGTGTATAATTCTGATGGATGAAGATTCTATAGTAACTGGGTGCAAAAATTATGTCTACCTTCATTCGAGCGTGGAATAAAGTTGCCGCATCAAATGTAACGCAACCAACAACGGCAATCAAATTTACATGATGTAAAATGTGTCATACCACCACAAACTCCAATACTGTCAAAATGTGGGTGTGCTACGGCAGTACGTCATTTAGTATTTTGGAGAGCACAGTAGAGGCAAGGAAAAGAGTTCAACAGTGGAGGACCAACTTTAGGGTCTCGTGTAAAGGTGTGGTCACATTAGCAAAATTTCACAGGCAAAGAAAGACCAATGTCAATAGAGTAGCAATGCATGAAACACCGCTCACACAGAAGTCACTTTCAAACCAAGCAGCTTCCATTTAGTTGTGAGGAATTCGCTTGACCAACGTGAACATGAGCGAAATCTGCATGAGGAACTTTTCCATCCTTGCGCGAAACTCCCAGTCGTGCAGATTCCTATTGAAATGACTGGATTTCACCACGATAGGGTAAATGTAGCCGCACCTAAAAGCTATAAAAACATATTCAATCCACCATGTCAAACTATGCCACATCCCAAAGTGATGCTACTCTAAAAGAGCTCACAGCTACAAGCAATTCCCACAGGAACAATGTATCGTATCGGACACTTTTGATCATCTCAATCAAGGGGAAAACTGAATTAAAAACGAGCTGCATGAGCTCAGGCAATTCAGGAAATGAGCTCAGTCCTTCAGTTCCATCTCTGTACATCGTAAATCAAGGAGCTTTGCTTCTCAAAGGGATATGGATATCATGATGTCATTAATTGGGGACTTAATTGTCATGCTAATCCAGCTAAGAGGAGGAGGAAGAAGAGAAAGGCTTTTCTTCATGTCTAATCGTCGTAGTGCTACACCGCATGTATTATCTCTCGCCACGTCTCATTTCTCCCTGTAATACAGCAGATACATCTTCAGGGGTTCAGGTAACGGGAGTCTTAGAATCTTCTCCCTCAGAATATTAACGGGAGGCTCCGCACGAGCGCAGCCGCTTTTGCTTTTCTCCTCTTCGGTGCCGCCGCATCCTTCCTCATCCTCCTCAGGCAGGTCTTCTCTCACTCTGCGGCAACCGATTTCCTCTTCCTCCTCCACTTCCTCTTCTTCCTCTTCCACTCCTCCGGGGTAGTTGCAATCGTCCATGGCTGTGGGAATCATGGAGTCGTGGAGAACCACGGAGTTGACGCACTGGCGGTAGAAACGGCGGCAGAAGCGGCGGCGTTCGAAGCGGGGCCCGTAGCGGTGCATGGCCCGGGCCCCTGGGAAAGACACCCGTCTCTTTGTACGTCCTTCCCCCAGAGCTATAGGCTGCCGCAGAGTGTGGCGAATAGCAATCCGGGACAGGTCCTGCAATGTCCGCACCTCAAAAATGGCTGCAAAGCAGAAAGCGAGGAGGAAAGAAGAGTTTTTTTTTTTGTCAGTTTACAGTTTCCTTGTTTTTTTTTTAAAGTTTAATAACAATAAAATTCTAATAATAAAATGTAAACTATTTTTTTATGGAATATCACACAACTTTTCTTCCATGTTTTCATTTTAACAGTAAACCTCTATTTTGCAGCACATTTTAAAAGATTAATTATTAATGTTTCATGCCTTCATTTGATTACCATTATTTTTGAGGACACATTTATATGAATTTTTTTATATCACTAGATTATTGCATAACATATTTAGTTTTTCTTAAATACAAAAAGTTTCTAGAATTTTTTTAAATTTAAATCTTCAAATTTGATTAAATAGTTATAATTGCTAATGAAGAGAATGAAGGCTTCTTCACACTAAGAATTTGTAAAATGATAAATAATACATTTAAGACAATTTGTACTGCAATCATGTTGTTTTTCACATTTTTTCCCCCAAATAGTGGGATAAGTCTTAGTGTAAAAATATAAAGGATTTACAGGGAAAAAAATTATTTTCAGATTTAAAAAAATTTACATTTCCAAATAAAGCCTGTTCACATCAAGAACTATAACTTATAATGATAACTATATAAGCATCTACACCAACGGACAGTAATATTCTGTTTATTATAAGCATGAGCTGTGGTTTTGTCATCTGCCGCTTTAAATGCTGGATCTCTTAAAAGCTGAATTTTGATTGGCTGTCAATGTTTTCATCATTCACCAGGTGGAAAAAATGGTTATGAAAATGATTCCAACAATATTGTTTCTCTGTGTTGTTAACGTTATAGTTGTGGTCTGGACTTCACTATTCTCTTAGCATGGTTATTAAAACTTTAATAATTATAGTTATTGCTATATTTAAGGTTATCCTTTACACTGTAGTAATGGGTTGTATTTGGTATGACAGCATGCAAATGATCAGAGATTTGCTTTAATTTGGGTATACAAATACTTTCAGAGAATGATAAAAATTCTCATTGGACTTGGTGTGAACAGTTTTGGTGTGAAAAATAATTTGCAATTAGTGTCCTTGTTTGTACTGGACTTCAGGCGAATGATTTGTCAGTGTACTCACGTAAAGGAACACTCCTAGGTCTGCCATTGACATTCTGCTTGGGCTGGACGAGCGGGGCAAAGGTCACAGCGATGATTTTCTTGGTATCCCAGGAGCTCTGACCTGTGCGGGTGATCTTGGTCAACTACAAAAGAGTTTCTAATTAATTACACTAATTACACATCATTCCATGTGAATACTAATTACACGTGTGTGTACATTGATTTTGTGTGAGTAAAATGCAAATACATTTAAATAAAAAATGGGACTTTAGGACTCCATGAAATCAAAGTAATTTGTAAATTTAAGCTTTGAGGTCATGCACTTGCTCGTTTATTTTTCTTCATGGGAAAAATATTATATATCCAAAACTATTCAATATTAAATGCTCATCTTGCACACATGGTCTTTTCCAAATATTTCCCAATAAACTGGGACTAAAGCCATTCTATATGTCTCGGCCCTACTTCCCTATTGTAACAGGAAATGTCAACACAAGAAAGAAAACTACATTCATCAAACCATTGACATTTCAAGTGTCCTTTAAAACCTGCTGTGCAATAAGAACACATTAACTTGATGAATAAACATGTACTCACCTTCTCCTCCAGGGGGAGAACTAAGATCCCGCCAACCTTTAGCAGGTTCTTCATGTAGTTCTCATACTCTTTCTGAACTCCTGCTCCACAGTACACCCTGTCATACTGCCAGCTCTCTGGAGGGATCTCCAGACAGTTTCCCACCACAAAGGTCGGCTCACAGAACTCAAACCTGTGGCCATTAAACAAAATCAAGTCATTAAAAAAACGTGACAATTGAAAGCCAATGTAAAGATGCATCACAGGAAATGGCTCACTTGTCAAAGCTGTCGCTGGTTTTGATAAAGTAGTCAAGTTTCTGATTCGCATAATCGACCACATCCGCATGCAGTTCCACACCGTGATTCACACCAAACGGACCTGGTGACAGAAACGACAGATATGTAAACAATCCTTTTAAAGGATAAAAAAAGTGAATTGGTTAAGAAATATATAAATTCAAGGTAAACTAAAAAAAGTTTAAGGGTCAGTAAGATTTTTTTTCTTCTGTTTTTTTAAAAAATATATATTTTGCAAGGACATAAAAATGGTCAAAAGTGTCAGTGCAGACATTTATGTTACAAAAAAATGATATTTCAAATAAATGCTGTTCTTTTGAACTTTCCATTAATCAGGGGCAGTCGTGGCTTAATGGTTAGAGAGTTGTACTTGTAACCCAAAGTTTGTGGGTTTGAGTCTCAGGTCCGGCAGGAATTGTCGGAGGGGGGAGTGAATTACCAGCACTCTCTTTCACTCTCAATACCACGACTGAGGTGAGACCCTTGAGCAAGACACCGAACCCCCAACTGCTCCCTGGCAAAAATGGCTGCCCACTGCTCCGGGTGTGTGTTCACAGTGTGTGTGTTCACTACTCACTGCTGTGTGTGCACTTGGATGGGTTAAATGCAGAGCACAAATTCCGAGTATGGGACACCATACTTGGCCACACGTCACGTCACTTTCACTTTTCACTTTCAAATAATCCTGAAAAAAGCTACTAAGCAAAACAACTGTTTTCAACATTGAGAATTATAAGAAATATTTCTTGAGCAGCAAATCAGCATATTAGAATGATTTCTGAAAGATACTGTGACACTGAAGACTGGAGTAATGATGCTGAACATTCATTACATTTAAATAAATTGTTTTTAAAATATTCAAATAGAAAAGAGTTATTTAAAAGTGTAATGATATTTCATAATGACTGTTTTTGCTGTATTTTTGATCAAATAAGTGCTTCTGACCCCAAACTTTTCAACAGTTGTTTATTTTCTCTCAATGTAAAGTTTTAATATTACACAATTTCACTTCTCAACTAAATGTATCTTTTGAAGGATGTTTAGATATTTTTTTTACTGGAAAACAAGACAAAAATAGTTTTTTTTTTTGCAGTTCAAGTACACTCACCCAGTATAAGGCCCACCATGGTGCTAAGATAACCTGTCCCACTGCCCAGATTGAGAAAAGACAGGCCAGGCTGCAGGTCCAAGGCCTCCATCACCTCCGAGTAGATGCATGGAGCAGATAGATGGAGGTTTCCATGCCTCCAGGCCAGGTCTTTATACGCACTGTCACGGTACTCCTCCAGATAATAGTCTGCTCTGTCAATGGCTCTGAAGGCCCTCTCCACTAGTTCTGAGCGGATGTAATGGGCCTCCTTCAGGTTGTCAATCAGCTCATCGTTGTCCTCACCCGCGCTCACGGCTCCACCCATGATGAAAGCAGAAGAGCTTCTAAGGACAGTCCTGAGGTGTGCCTGTCACTTTCTGGAGGGAAAAGCAAAGCATCTCAGATCAAACCCAGAGTAAGTTGACGCTAAAATGGCAGAACATTCTTATTGAGCTTTATAAAACAAACACAGAATTTGATATATCAAATAACAAACATGAAGAATTCCTAATTGAACAACACATACATATTAATAATAATGATACTGCTGTAGTGGTTTTAAGATCATGTTTTATTTAGCCGTAAATGACACCTCCAACAGACTGTTGTCTAGCAGGTGGGAAGAAAGGAAAGAATGCTAATTAAGACAGCTGAATCTTTAATGAGTCCATGTCAGATATCTGAGGTGAGCTGATATGCCAACGACTTGACAATAAGACTCACACTCGCCTTCAACTCCTTCTCTTGCACTCTATTTTTAGGGGTCAGACAATGCCAAGTAAAAAGTGGCACGTTATTGCGTCACAACTTGAACTCTTGGCAGCGCCTCCATTTAGAGCAGAGATATCATTTGTTTGTCATTTTGGCAAGCAGACAAAAAGCACATGGGTAGCTGACATATTACATGTCTTTCTTTTTTATCCAGAATCTAGGTTCAAATTTAGATTAATATGCATTTTATTTTAAGTTCTGTACCATTTCAACCATCTTATTTAAAAGTCATTGATTTAGGTTTTAATGTAAAATACACATATACAGTGGGTACGGTACTGAGCATTTTTCAGTTTTTCTTTTTTAATAAATCTGCAAAGATGTCAACAATTCTGTGTTTTTCAATCAATATGGGGTGCTGTGTGTACATTAATGAGGAAAAAAAATTAACTTAAATGATTTTAGCAAATGGCTGCAATATAACAAAGAGTGAAAAATTTAAGGGGGTCTGAATACTTTCCGTACCCACTGTATATATACACACACACACACACTGCAGAAACCATCACTTGATGAATAATAAAAAGAGCATTCAAAAGAGCATTTATTTGAAATATAAATATTTAGTAACATTATATTAGTCACTTTTTATAAATGTAATGAGTCCTTGCTGAATAAAAGCATTAATTTCTTTATTTTAAAAAAGCTTACCCTAAATTTTGTTACATTTGTTTGATACATTTAATATTTATATGTACTATTAATGTGTTATTAAGATAAACCATGATCATAGCACATGTTAGACTTAGCATATCAATGGTCACATTTGCAAACTGCAGAAAACTTCAGACTTTTAATAAATAACCGACTAACAATATACATTTGCAGAATTCAAGGTACTGTTACAATAAATGAAACAACAGTAACAGCAACATTAAAAACAAATATGATTGGTTTTGGATTACCCTTTACCTACAACTACCTGATGGTAAAAAATGTTACCTCGTTGTTTGCAACGTTTGGTCCGATTGAGCAACTCACTCAGCAATTATTGACTCTGTAGTTTCCATCTAGTTACAACTGTGACCTGAAATACAACACATAATTTAACTTTTTGTTTGTTTGTTTTGATTTTGTACTTTTTTTGTTTCAACTGGGCTATCAAAAGAGTAAAATAAATATGTGCTGGGAAATGTGAGTTAAAAAAAATACAAATAGTATTGTTCAGTATTGTTTTGTTTAATATAGATTTTAACAAAACTATAGTAGGACATATTAACAATCCACAAGTATGTCAATTGGGTAACAACAAAAGCACCATAGATTAAAATATCAGCAAATGCAAAATGGTGGGCTGGTTGATTATTTTACTTGTCAGATAAATTTCAATGAGGCTGTGAAATCGAACTCAATATAAAATGTACATTATATCACTTTGCAATTTAATCTAACAGATGAACTATTGAGGTCGTGATGGCACCCGTCAGTTATTTATAACGAACAACCGTTTAGCATGTAACACCACAGCCCGGTGTATGACAAACGGAACCGAACATCACACATTCAGCAGCAGCAAACCGATCGCGCCGTTACACGAGAAAACGTGTAAACAGATTCACGCAAAACTGTTGTAACCCAGTAACCGTCATATGTAGGTCACGTTTGTGTTATGCATTTACCAACAGTTAACTGCAGTCGGTCTGTCTATGCACGAGGAGTAGCTTTGCACAACCACCGACATAAACAAAAGAGTCTCCGGCCACACTGGCACTTATTGCCGCTGCGCACTACATCTTACCGTGTGAATTCGGGCCTCAGCGGTTGTCTCGTGCAAACCGACAATGTCCATCGATTACATTAACGCGTATGTCTTGTATATGGATGCGGGCACAATAACGTCTAACCTTTTCGACTGCGAAAAAATGCATGCGATGTAAACATAAACCAGCTGACGCCCTGACGTCACACGCACGAAGACGTCTCTGCATTTCGTGGAGATTCGATTCATCTCAGTGACTCGATTCTTTTAAATCTTTTCAGCAAAAAGATTTAAATTGAGATTCAAGCATTGGTTTGTAAAAAAAAAAAAGCTCAAACATCGCCAGAGTAGTAGTTGAGTAGTCGTTTATTGTTTCGCCTGAGGCAATCAATGAGTTTTGATTCTGTCTTGTGAGTCAATGAATCATTCAATCGATTATGTAAAAGATTCATTCAATCCTGTCATTCGTTTGGTCTAATGCTTTATTAAAATTTACGAAAAGTATTATAAGCGTTTTCACCACAAATGATAATAGAGCATTTACTGTATAATTGTCTTTCTTCATTTTTGTCTAGCAAGACAAAGAGTCTAAAGACTCGTTCAGTCGGGCAACAGATCCAAAGATGCCTTGTTCAACGCCGCTCCGCTCCGAATCTTGTAAAGACTCCACACACAGTCCAAACACAGACTCGTCGACGTGACAACTGCTCTGCTAAAGGTAGGACACAACAGGGAACAAAATGCGTCCACATGGTACAGTTTACTGAAAAAAATGTACAGATTCGTTACAAATACGAACGAAACACCAGTAGAACATACTCAAATTCCCTCATACACCATTTGAGATTCATAGAGCACTCAAAGCACAGTTATATATATATATATATATATATATATATATTCTTTTTCTTATGAACAGTAATGGTTTTCATTTATTTTGGCGCAAATGAGTGCTGCTTCCAAACTGTATAAGCACCTGTAGATTCATTCACGTCTGATTTACCTAAATGCACTTCCCTAAATATATCTGTCAGATACTGTGATTAGCACTGCAGATATTATTTCATCTCGCTTCTAAATCGAGTGTCGTTATTATTAGATACCGTTGGAAGGTTTCATGTGAATCCTCATTATGCTGAGATAGTATTGTTGTGAGTGTGGTAGTGTCTTTTTGTCTCCAGCAGAGGTCAGAATGTAAAAAGCTTAGATTTGCAAATGGTGGCACACTCCCAGTCTACAAAAAGACTATAAGCCTAACAGACTAAAAAAAAAAAACTCTCATCACAGCTATCGCTATCATGATTCTGACAAAGATAAAATATATATGAAAGATAATACTAGTCAATTGGCATATACTTATTATTTTCAGAGGTTCAGTTATCAAATTGATTAATCAAGACAGATGGAATCATGCAGTGACTAAAAAAATGCAAAACCCAAACTTATATTTTAGCATGTGTATCAAACTTTTGACTTAACAAGCAAAAAACGAACACACGCACGCGCACACACACCACGTAGGAAGTACTCAGATATACTCAGAAAGATCACATTATTGACTCTTTATTTATGTTTTCCATATATAACACTGAAATGAACAATACCTCCACAAAACAGACATTATTGTTCTCTTTTAACATTGATATCAATGAGCACAGGTACAAGGATACACAAACACGGTCACAATCCAAAACCAACTACACACGTCATTTCCAAAGTTAGCTCGAATCACGCACAGCCATAGCTTGTCCTGCTCTACAGAAACAAAACCTTGGTAAGGAAACTACCACTGCTACAAAAGTGAATAAAACATGTAGTCTATCACTGTGAAAGTGCTTATTATTATTATTTTTGGAAGTACCATTTTTTTTTTGTAATTTTCTAAAGGAGAATCATTTTGTAGCTACAAAATCACCAGTAAAAATAGCTGATCTCTGTAAAAAGGACGCAAGAGGACAAGCCTTGGCCGTGGGTTAAAATACTTTTTTTTCTTTTTTTTTTTTCTCGGCATTTAATTGTAAGTATTCTTTAATACAACAACATTGTTCTTTATTACAAATGTACAGAATCCCATTGTTGTCAGTATAATGCCCTGTGTATAAATGCTTCATCTGTGATACGTTCCATGATTATTTCAGACTCGATGAAATGACCCACCACACAATTTCATACCTGAATCAGAATCACAGTTTTGGGAAGAATAGTGTTACATATTGTGATTTATTTCATGTTGAACAATAAGCTGAATATCGATTTCAATATGATCTGCTCTTGGGGCACACATGAGAAAACCACAGAGCTGTAAGCTACAGTACCTACAGAATGAGGGCCGTTTTGGTTATATCAGCTTAATGGGACAAACAGTACCTTCCGACTTTTTAGCTGTTATTGTTTCTCATGAAATGACAGAGGAAACATTTTAATTGACCTACGATTGGCACAAGTCTCGGGAAAGGCTGGACTCTCAAGTACAAGGTGCTAAATCAATCCTTATTTTGTTCCACAGGGAGGGGTTACATATGCTAACTTGCATTTGCAAATGCTACACTGCTCCAGAGAACATGCTACATTATTAGGCAGATTCTACGCACTCATCCTCACCGTGCAACATTCGTAGCTGCTCATCATCACCGACAGCAGGCGTTTAAGAAGCATGCATTGAGGAAGAATAATTCACACATGCTTTAGGCTATCTCATGTCAGTAGTAATAAGCAGATAGAAATGTTTCTCCCATCGTAATAAGACGATGTGACATCTGTAATGAGTATTCCCTCTACGCAATTTAATAGAAAGTAGAAACTCTGCTGTTACAGATAGACAGCGTCTTCAGATTGCTCTTAAAGCAAAGGAAACACTGTGGTATTGAAATGCAACGCACACATCTTTCCTGCAGAAAGGTTACACAGAACGAGGCGAATGAGGCCGATCTGACATTCTGTGGAAATGGACAAAGATTTATGCAACTAGCGTCTCCTTCGTTTTCTCTGTGTGCGAGGGCATGCCAATGTCTCAGAACGCAAACGCTCAAACCACATCTTTTTTCCTTTTAACGAAGGCCTTGTTGCCGAGAGCTAACAGATCTGATATCGTACATCCGATTTTGGATGGATAAGGTTTTTTTTTGTACTGGCTACAAGGTAAAAAGATGTCGGTCAAAGGGCATTTGACATTTCCTACAGGATACAGATTCACATCAAACAACAACGAACAAGTCAAAGACATTTGCGATATTTTATCCCAATTCTGTTGGTGCAACTTGTCCAGTAGCCATTTGTACCTTTTTTCAAAATAAAAAATAATCCACTAACACACACTTGAGCGCACACAAAGAAAAACCTTTTGGTTGAAAGGTCATTAGTTGGCATTCAAGGTTTTTGAAAAGTGCACACATGTTCTGTCCATCACAATATTGCTGCCATAATAGCAAATGAGCAACATGACCGCTGTGTACTATTTAACGAAACTGAATAGAGGCACAATGTTCATTTCACAACTCGCTATTATGAGTCATACAGATGTAATTGCGATGATTGGCATTTTACACACGTATCTAAGTGTGGCGTGTCCCACCAGAACTGCACAACACCATACAATATTAAAGACAGATCCACCGAGGAGAACTTTCAGCACAGTACAATGCGTCTAAACGACTACAGCCTAAGACTAATCAGTTAACCATTGTCCCATTAATGCGGCTGGCATACATACAGAGGCCAAGTGAGTTTGGACCAGAAAATAGGAAACTCTACAAACATCCTTGAATTCTTCGCTTTAGAAATGTACGTTTACATATTATAAAACACATTGTATCCTGCAACCACAGTAAACTGGGTCTGTCTTTTTTTTAAATATTATTTAGTCTTCTATCGATAGGAGTACTCACAGCTTTTGGAAAGATATTGTTTCTGTTTAGCTATTATAAGAGAAAAAGAGTTAACAATTACACTGTAAAAATATATGTATGTTTATATACTATATATAGTTTTTTTGTCTTCTTTTTTCTTTTAAATACAGAATGAATATATTGTGTTGGTATGGCCATCACGGCAAAGGAATAAAGGCATCTGTAACAATCCCCACTTATGCCACGGTCACATGACCCGAGGGTAGTGTGGTTGCTGAATGGGCGGAGTCGGTAACGAAAGCACAGGTCAGTGGCACTTTGTGCATCGAAGAAATAAAACTCTAGTATAAGGCTACACGGGTGTATGCTTGTCTGATACTAGTCGAGTAAGGACATTGTGGTTCAAGAGTTTCTGTCAGGATGGTTGGTATTCGTCTTCTGTGCCCCGCCACAAAAACGACCGCCCGCTTCCCATGGTCAGACAAAGATAAGTTTAGCAAGAAAGCAAAAATAATCCATTTGCAATTCATTAAGATTGTTCAGGGGAAACAGTTTTTGGCCACTACTGAGAGCTTGAGGAGGTATAAAGAGAAAAAAAAAAAAGCACAAGAGGATCCAGAGGAACGTCGTCTTCGGGGTAAGAGTCAAAGCTGTAGGTTCCACAGTACTGGAATTGCTTTTTTTCTCTTTACATTCCTATAGGAAGTAATGCTGGTATAAGGAAAACCTTCGATAATCATCATATCTTATTCTGTAGTCCAAAACATGTTTTTTGTCTTTATTTTTATATCGCCAAAGTTCTTCAAGACTACTAAGACTTCACAAACACACGGAGACGTTACAAAATAAATATACATTACAACCGTATCACAGTTCATAATTTCATCATAAATATTAAATAAATAATAAATAGAGATGATACTTCTTCAGTTGTGTTGGAAATTCGAAAAAATAAAATGCAAATAGAGATAGATACACAAGTAGAGAGAAAGAGAAAGAAAATTTACAAAATTATCAAAACATTGTTGGTTAAAAATATTTGCACTTAAAAAATGTTTAAAAACTCCATCATCAAATGAAAAGAAGTTATAAAAATTAGTGGTACATTATTTTTTCTCTTTCCAGATATTGACGTGGCCATATTGTCATGACCTTTTATAAACAGAAGGGCTGTGAATATTTAAATAGGTGAATTCAAATAAATAATACAGTTAAAATTAAATGATAACAAAATATAAATAAATTACAGTAGCGTCTGGACAAGTTTCCTATAATTTATAGATCAGTGACAACCCAACATCTTGACTGATGTTGAATGGACTGAAATGAAGTGCAACTTATTGTTCATATGTAAGAGATATGACTACGCTGGGTAAATATTCCTACAGTGTAAGTAACTACAAAGAAATGAGAGCAAGCTAATGCTCCTGTGTGTAGCTCTAAAACAAAACAAACCAATAGACAATAAATGGCTGCCTAGATGAAGTAGTGTTTCAACAGGTGAAATTTACAGAGTCAACCGCATGGCACTGATAAGGTTGCACACGCATTCGCTCACTTTGTATGCTAGTACAACATCCTCTCATTTCCCACGACCCAAATCCACTTGTGTTTTCTTCGGGAAAAGAAGGAAAGACGAGGAAATACAGCATATGTCTGTTCCGCCGAGGCTCACTTAGGGATCACTTGTATTTGGAGCATCACTTTTGTTGTTTCGGAGGAGCAGCATCCTCACAAATGAGTAAAAGACTCTCTCTTTCACCTAAAGCCTGGGCTGCACATCTTCTGGAAGTTTTACTCCCAGCTTCTTCTTCTTCCAAAACCTCTCACCGTTTGAATGTAAAACAACAAAAACTGTAAAGAAAACAAAAACTCTCTCCTTTTCTCCATAAATAAAGGATTTGGTTCCATCTTCGCCTTCCAATCCAGCAGCTTTTGTGGATTTTGGTCCTCATAGTAATATATATTATATACCTCTTTTTGAACTCACAGAATGCTCCCTGGGATGAAGGTTTAGATTGTTGTTCAAAAAAACCTGAATGCCCTTTTTGTGTGTCATATGTATGCTCTTCCAAATGGCTCCACATTTCTATTCTCTTCCACACTTCTGTTTCTCATCCCCGTCTTTCGGCTTAGTCAGACCTTAATGCCTTTCACCGCTTTGTTGATGGTCTCCAGAAGGGCCTTGTTCTCTGGGTTCTGGTAGCAGTCCTTATTGGTGTACATGTCAGTAAGGGTGCTCACGTAGCTCTCAAAATTCTGCTCTGTGATTGGCTCCTGCTGCAATGGAAACAGAAATCGGAACGGCGGTTTTAAAAAAGTGCGTCTAATTCATGTAGGAGAGGAAAGTTATGGAAGCTACTGTAGGAGTGTGTGTAACTCACCATGTGAGGCAGACGGATGTTGGCCAGACTCTGTATAAGAGCTTGACTGAGTCCAGACAGCTCCATAAACAATGCCTCATTCTGTTCTTCAATCATCTTATTCTCCTGCTCGATGTTCTTCAGGTTCTTCTCCATGGATGTGATCTAAATCACCAAAAAAGCAGATTATGTCCAAAAAACATGGTAATATGATGTTACTTTTTTATATATGTGATCTTTAGTCTATCTTTTTTTTTAGATTGTCAGGAGATGTGTGGCTAACCTGTGTTTGAAGGTTGACCATATCTGCCTCCATCTCATTGTTGGATTCATTGAGCTCGTTGATTTCTTTATTGAGCTGCTTGATGTCTTCGTCATTGTCTAACACTAAAGAAAAAGAGAAATGTTGTCACCTTTAGTGTCCCACAAAATATGACAGAAGAGATGATGGAGGTAGAATGCAGGAGAAATGTCTCACCGTCACTGGCTCTGAACTTAGTGCTGAGATACTCTTCTCCAGGGAACTTGGCTTTCTTCTTGTTGAGGGAGGCTCTGGGGCAGCCTGAGAGACTGGGGCCAAACACAATTGGTTCATCATCAATCATCGCAAAACGCAGTAGCACATTTGCTTCATGAGCAATCCCATAATGACTCAGATTTGGCCAGTACCCTAAAACCTAAAGGTAGAGTGTGTAATTTCTGTGCCATTAAGCTGCAGTCACATTTACCTTTATATGGTACAATTCTGTGGGCAAAACGCAGTCATCTCAATAGAAAATCAATAAAACCAGGAATTTCACATAAGTGACGTGAGGTGAAACTTTCATGTTTCAATTTCACTGCGTTTACCAATATATAGCTGCTTGGTTGGCAAGTGACCTTTGAGCAAATAGTGCTTCATGCATTGCTACACTGACAACTTTAGCTCTATTCGGATGAGACTAGTTTCCTGAATGATGTTACAATTCAAAACCATGTCTGTAATTTTATATACCGCTTATATACCACATGGGACTAGCATCTCCATGTTGATTGCAGTGGTGGGAGTGTGTTCTGGATACAGGCATTACAGAAGGTCATGTGCTGTGGTTGCATGAATTAAATATAACATTATTTAATTAATTATTTTGCATACAATTTAAATTAATTATAAAAACCTTATTGAAATAAACCTTACATGAGTTTCTAAAAGTGGCTGCTCATAATAAACCCATGTAACTGAGCAGAGAAATCTAGACATGTACCTTACCTGACACTGGCCAGGTAGAAGTTTTCACGATTTGGCTCTCCTTATTTTTATATTTATACTTTTATAAAGTATAAAAGATGCGATCCATATTGAAAAGTGCAACATGCAGAAGATTAGTGTGCAAACAATAAGTCATATGCATTTTGATGGGATTAGATTTCTCAATGATCCAGTGATTTTATGGAAAACACAGATTTGGATGTAACTAAGAAATGCAAATTTCTCTAACCTCCTCCGGGAAAACTAGTCCCGTCCAAATAGGGCTTTAGTTCATTAAATTTGGCTGAAGTTTCACTAATGTAAACGCACCTTTAGTTTGAAGTGCAAAAATAATGATTGTTTCCCAATAGGTTTCCCACCCCAAACTCAGGCCACTGGTTGACACAAATTTCACACAGCAGTCAAAACCATATTTTCTCTATTCAAGTACCTGCGGTGGGTGAGGAAGCTTCCGTTGGCATGTCCTGATCCGTCACATCCTGGTGTGGGACAGGTTGGGCCTTCTGTCTTAAACGCCTTCCAAGAGAACGGAGACCCATTCAGCAAACCCTCCTTCTGCCGCCTGGCTGCCAACGGGCATCCGTACGCACTGCGGTGAGTGGCGTACTTCCCACTGATGTGACCCAGGCTGTCACAACCTGGCACTGGGCATCTGTGAGAGAAGGAAAAAGATGAAGACAGAGGGAATAAAACAGATGAGTTTGGTTAGAGATCGTGAGAGCATTTATCCCATCAGAAATATCACCTTGCCATTGACTTCAGTTCCCATCTGTTTACTCTCTGTCTCACTTGAGTCTCTATTCAGTTTTGTAAAGAGGGCCATATTTAGCTACATACTTTGCCCAACAGTGACTGTGAATAATATAGCATTCAAATAAACTGAAAAAAACATTTTTACACATTGGGGAGCTTGAGTGCCACCATATGCCTGCTGCTCATTGACTGGAGTGGAATCATGTGGATAAAAAGCTCCTATGCTTGGCAGTCGCAGAAAAACAAGAAGACAAAAACCCACACATTGCACTGCAGATGACTTACTAACAAAGACATGCACAATATTTCAATACCCCATGAGCCATCTGTGCTGTAATCTATTGTTCACAGTTTTTATTTCCTCAGCAGTATAACTAGGCGTCTTTGTCTTCTTGCTTTTAGAAGCCTTACAACGGGATAAAACACACAAGGCCATTTTCCAAAAGAATATGAACATTACTAGTACTAGTTTGCCATGCGGGGCTACATGCACTGACTCATAAGCTCATGTACGAGTGAGTTATTTGGAAGGTTGCCAAGGTGATATTTAACAAAGTAAAACACAAGCAGTATTTTGGGATCACAAGTGGTTCTAGATGGAAATGCTTGATTAAATCACTTCTGTTTGAATGAAGAGGGGTTTTCTAAACTGCTATACACTGTTGTTAAATGACTGTGTGGTTGGACAATCATTTGATCATTCCTTTACAATATTCCCGCCTAAATTGTGCCTTTTTTTACCGTACAGTAAGAAAAGGGGAAAAGCCTGTGGCTTTCTATGTAGTACGAACTTTAAGAGCTCGGAGTCCTCCTTGTCGTCCTTGATGGGAGTTGTTTTTATTCCACCTTTCTTGGCCCGTGGACACCCAGACAAACTGAAAATAGAGAGTATGCAGCTCATGATCAGAGGAGCTAAAAACGTAGAACAATAAGGATCCAGCACTACTGACCCAAAGCAATGTAGGAAACCAAACTCAATTACTATTAAGAAAGATGCAAGCATACACCATATCCTGACCAGGCACGATGCAACAAGTTTCCACCAATTTTATCTCACTGAAAGTGAAATGCTACATGATGTGACTAAATCACAGCCAATTGGGACTCTTTTCCTAACTGAGATGCCAAAAAGTGGCCCAATTTACCTGAATCTCTCAACAACTATGTGGAGTAGAAGTCTGGACCAATGAGAAGGGACCAGTGTGGGAGGGGCTACTGAGCGCACAGAAACAGAAATCAAGTGACCTACAAAATGCCTTTTTTCACTAACTAACATGCAAGACGTGATTTACTTCATGTCTCATGCCTGGTTAGGAAACAGTGACCTCAGCAAGCTTTTAGATAAACAAAGAAGAAAGAAAACTGCACAAGATCTAAAATATTATTCAATAATTGGGACGGGTAATAAATTAAGTGTGGCATACACGTGTGTTTCTAATATACAACTATCACTAAACTTCTCTGTCTTATTTGTGTATTATGTTGGGAGGGGTTATTCAACAGGCCATACCTTCTGTGAGACGTGTAGTTACCAGTGATATGGCCTGA